ATGTATTTTTATTATTCTTCGTTCCTTTTTGCCTGTTTTTTCTTTTAGGAGAAAATGAAGAAAAAATACTTTTAATGAGCTTGAGATTCAAATTAACACTGTCATTCAAAGGAACCACTAACTTTATATGGACTAGTACAATTCTACTCCCTTGGGAGTAACAGCTACAGTACATCAGACAGAGGCTACAGCTGGAATGAAATGATTATAATAAGTTTACCCATCTAGTACTACAATCATAGCGTATACTCTCCTCTTTCCCTCCTACGGACCGGGCGCTCGCTTATCAACAATAGAAGAAGGAAAGGCGTCACCTGGCCAGGACTCGGATCGATGACCTCCCGGCTCTGACTCTGACTATATCCACTGAGTAAGTGGATTGCAGTACAAGCTTGCCAACAAACAATGGCGTACAAATCTAAACATCCTGTAACCCCATGTTTTTTTGGGAAGCAAGAAGTTTACATTGGAAAAGTCTCTTGAAGATGCTGCCCGGAATCCGAATGCACTATCAGGCCATGAAATGAAGAAACACGATTTGTATTCAAGTAAAGCACATCGTCACAGAAACACTGGGAGCCATCGTGGTATCTTTTTCTGAAAAGAGGATGACCAAGCTGAAACGTGAGCATATGAGACGTAGTGCCATCAGTGACCTCGAATCACAGTCGTCTGCTGAAAAGAAGTGAGCTTACTCTAGCGTCCGCAAGAAAAATGTTCAAGATCAGCGCAGTCATAATCACTAGAATCATTGTAGTCGCCTTGCCACCTATGTTACAAAGTTGCCAAAGCTTTCGAATCACAGACGATCGTCGTTACACCGCCGGTTGCGAGGGTCAACCTTCGTCGTTGAGTCGACAAGCTAGGAACATTAGCAAATCTGTTCGACGGTCATCTGACCAAATTCACACGGCTGTAACCAGTTCCGGCGCTTTTGTCTCGCAAGGACCAGATTTCGCTTTTGCGCTGTGTCAAAAAAAAACACCTGCAGAATCTCGAATTATGTCTATAAAAAGTAGTCAATCGAAAGGCAAGGCGAACTTTCGCGTCTTGTCCTTGATACTGGCAAACGGTGTCAACTTGTGGTGGAGCCAAGTAAGATTCGAGGTCGCAAACAATATGGCCTACCGCCGGCGCTCTTCTGACTTCTTTACTGACTTCTAAGGCGATTAACTATGTTAAAGAGGCAAAATTGAATTTTCTTCGTACCGAACATGCTGAAGGCATGGATCGAGGTCCAGACGAAAAGGAGGCCTAAAATCATAATATCGCACTTTACTCAGGAGATGCCTTTCCACGAATAAACCTTGACCTATTTCACAGTGACCCCATTGTCAGCATAATGGGAAATTTGCAATTTAAAAAATAAAAGCATGTCAGTGGCTCTGCGGAGCGTGACATCACATCTACGGCAGCCACTGCATCTGCACCCACTTTGTGTGTCTGTTTAGTCACCCAGTTCCCTTACTTGTTTTTGCCCCAGTCGCTCGTTCGAACAGAACCAGCCCTGGTTTGTTTAGTAAAACAGCAAGCGCAAAACAATTACATACCATTACAGGTCAAAACTTAGAAACAAAATCTGATTGTGCCACTATTACGACGATCATCGTCTTTCACAAATCACGTGCATCGCATTAGACAACTTTTACAGTCTGATTACTGACAAACAGCAACTTCTGAGTCACCGATGTTAGTAAAGTCACAAGTTGTAGAACTTTTCACTCGAGGCAGAAATATCGGTCGATTGTATTAAAGTCCAAAGGCAGTTCATAGGAAGAAAACACTACGAAGCAGTAATCCACTGAGGTGGACTCATGGACTACCAGAAGTAAGACAATGGCGCGAATACGCGATTCTTATCGGCTGTATAGAAAACTACCATTTTGCTAATGAATCTATAATACCACAGTTGATTCGGACGTATATAAATGCCCAGGGATAATGAGATTGCGGTAGGTGTACGAATGGTCCTTTTGTTCAGCCTTTTATGATGCAGTGATGCGGATTTGCACCCATGCACTACAAATGCTATCACCATGGAGCAGTGGCTCGCTTTAATAATCCTTGAGGCTACTAGAAGCAACGAAATGGTGCGACTACGGCGCTTAAGTCCGGAGAGTTCACGGGAAAGTTCACTCAAAAAATTGATGAATATGATATCATAACATTTTAGAAATCCGTCTGTTCGTGTTTAAGTGGCCGTTTCATTATTATGCTTATTACGGTACGCAACAAAACAGTTTTTTTAGTATAGCCTATGTTGTAACCTGACAGCCACTCAGAACCATGACGCCAAACGTTTATTGGTGACGTATTATATAATGTCAACAATAACGAATTTGCCACGTGAACAGATCCACTGCTACCTGGTTGTGGTGTTTCTTCCTTCTTAAGAACTGTGCGCTGTTCAATGAGACGTAAACGATTTTTAATCGAAACTACGGCTAGCAGGACCGGGACTGCTTGTACGCAAAGCGTAGGACTTAGAACCGAGAGAGCCGGGGTTTCAGTCCCAGTTACATCACTCACCATTCTTCCTTCTAAGCTTGATGAATGAGCATCATATCGTTGAATGAGAAGGAAACAGCAAACCATATGCACCAATGATCATCGAGCTGCAGACACAGCTTTCAAACGAAGAGAAGAGTACGCGATTCATAATTGATGAAGCAGAGACAGAGACTAGCGCGGCACGATAACTTTCCCAACAAGAAAGATGCCACAATTGGAGCTCGGTCATGAAAGTGTAAGGTAGAAAAACATTCCAATCGTTAAAAGCTTTCGTTCTCTTTTCTTAACAGACTCATCATGGACAAGGCATGCACTTCCGGATTCCGATTTGCCCAAAGACAGGTGCATTAGGCAGTTTCATCAAAAGACACTACCTTCTGCATTGGACTCATGGTGTGAATTCCGCCCGGTTCCGGCGATAGCTATGAGTAGAAGGAAGGAAGACCTACAATTTGATTATGAGAATATAATCATATTGGCTACAACTACTAACATAACCATCACATGACAATAAACCTTGCATCAACACCATCGTAAAGGCTGTTATTGGATCTAAGATAACATCAAAAATGATCGTATAAAAAAGGGCAAAAAGGGACAATATAAGGCAAAACGCAGTCACGAGCGTGTAGATCTGCTATGCCAGCGATTCACTTCCACTGAAAAACCCACAAATTGATTACAATGCGACGATGGTATCCATAACTAAATAATTCTTCTCCGCTCAAGAGGTAGGCCACTTTATGAGCGACAGTTATCTAACACTTAATGAAAATAGACCAACCGTTGCAGTATCCATCGTGCAAGTCCTGTAAACGGAGTCCGTATTAAACTTGCCTGATCAACTGTACAACTGTTGTTGTGTATCCCCTCGGTTCAAAAACACTCATCCGTAATATGTCTATAGTTGATTATGAATGACAGCTTGGCTGGGAACAGCAAATGAATGCAAAGCGCAATTGAAGAGATTAATCGTTGGCTAGGAAAGGCTGAAAAACTTCATAAAATATTTCATTTTCCTGCTCTAGCATAATGATATACTCGTCTAGTATTACAGTCTCAAAAGAAAACAACTGACTAGCATTCAGAGCCTTTTGAAATTACTTGGTCAACTCTATAGACAATGTAGCTCACAGCTGATGAGCTTCCGTCATCCCATTCATTTGGCTGATAAGGGCGACAACATTCCCTCTGGATAGTTAAAATGTAACCGACCGAAATCAACCACTGTACTAATGTATCTAACAGATCCCATGGAAGCGGTCTCGTCCAACATTCACGCACGTTCGCTGCAAGTGGCGCAATGAGGCTCGCCTAAGGTAAGTCGATCTGTCCTAAAAAGAAGAACGGTTGACGTGACTCTGGTCTGCCTGTGCGGAATACACATTTTCATAGCTTGTTCTGCATTTTCGCATTTCCTATAGCCCGGCATTGGCAACGTGTTGTGTGATTAGGGCTAATTCGAGAAAATATAGCTAGCTGGTATACTTTATT